CAGGCTGGCCTTGAACTCAGAGACCTGCCTGTCTCTGCCTCCCGAGTGCGGGAGCTCAGCTCCCCACCACACAGAGTTTCTCTGTCTAATCCTGGCTGTTTTGGAATTTGCTCTTTGACCAGGCTGGCCTCAAACTCAGAGATGCGCCTGCCTCTGCCTCCTGAGTGCAGGGATGAAAGGTGTGCGCTACCATGCCTGGCTCAGCTACCTTTCTTATACCACCCAGGACCACCACCATGGCTTGCATTATCCACGCTGGCTGGGCCCTCCCTCATCAATCATCAATCAAGAGGGTATTCCACAGGCTTGCCCACAGGCCAGTCTGATGGAGTCATTTCTTTAACTGAAGTTCCCTCTTCCCAGATGACTCTGGCTTGTGCCAAGTTGACCAAACCAGCAAAACCAATCAGCAGTGCAGGTGTGGCTGTTCAATGTGTAAAAACGCCTGCTGTGCAGACCTGATAACCTGAGCTTTAACTCTCAGAACCAAGAACCGACTCCACAGTGTTGTCCTCTGACCACCTCATACCCTCCATGGCATGCATGTCACACACACACACATACACACACACACACACACACACACACACACACACACACACACACACACGGGTGATAATTAATTTAAGCTGGGCGGCGGTGGCGCACGCCTTTAATCCCAGCACTTGGGAAGCAGAGGCAGGCCAATCTCTGTGAGTTCGAGGCCAGCCTGGTCTACAGAGCGAGTTCCAGGACAGGCACCAAAACTGCACAGAGAAACCCTGTCTTGGGAAAAAAAAAAAAAATTAATTTAAAAACCAAGTGGGCGACTTCTGAGGAATGACACCTGAGATTGACCTCTGGTCTCCACAAATGCAATATCTTTGCACACTTGCCTGCACAAGTGCACACACACACATACACACATGCACATGCACAGGGAAGCATGCACACATGCAGGCATATGCACACACGCACAAATGCACACATGTGCGCGCACACACACACACACACACACACACACACACACACACACACAAAGTTCTGTTTTACCAAAGTAAAACTCAAACACCTGACCCGCCTTCCTTGCCTCTCCAAGGCTCTGCTTAGGTTGATGCTGGCCTCAGGTGAAGGTGCTCCAGGTTTGGCCTCCACCTGCCACTGCCCTGTTCTGGGGCCCCAGGGAACGCTTCACCCTCTCTGGTGCTCAGTTCTGTCATGGGGATCAAACTAGAGGCACTCTGGGACCTTCCCAGCACTGACATGCTCCAGCCTGCGTTCGGGATCACCCAATGGACCTCCCATCTCCATGAGCATCTAAGAAGATACAAGACTACAGGTCCTGAGTCCCTCAGCCTGGGGCAGGGTGGGTAGTCTTAGTGACCATGGGAAAAGCCAGCTGGGGGTTGTCACACTGTCCTAATAAACACACCCTTCCGGAGGCCTGCGTGGTCTCTTGGAGTTTATAGAATACACCCACATCCATGCTCTCTGTGACCCTTTCATTCTACAAACATCCCAGATCTGTCCCCTGTACCCAGGACTGGGCTAGCCAGAGCCGTGGGGGAAGGGGGATGCTTAGAGTCATGATGATCAGAGCATGCATGGGATAGGCTGGCTGGAGAGATGAGGACAGACTGGCCAGGACCTGAAGAGGAGGCAGGATGGGGGATTGTGAGGGGCCTGGATGGAGTCAGGCAGTACCAGGTTTCCTCCCCCTCCCCCCACAAGCCACTCTAAAAGCTGACCTCCATCCTTAGGGACAGGAAGGCAGCCCTGCACCAGGGAGGAAGCACAAGCCCACTTGTTAGTGGAACCTTAGCATTCCGGGTGGAGAATGGATTGGGGAAACAGAGGGGCTTGGGTGTCCATGACTAGGCACGTCAGGTTGCAGGCGATTGGCCAGGATCACCAAAAAGTGACAGATCTAGCTTCAAGTTCCCCCACTTACTGAGTATCCAAACCCTGGTTTTTTCACCCGCTTGGGCTGCCATTCAGGCCCCCTGGTAACGCCACTGAATCCTCAATGTGTGCTGGTTCTGAGTGCCACCAGCATGAGTTCACACCCCTCGCAGTTCCCAGTACTAGCCAAGTCCACCTTTACAGATGAGGGAACCACCATAGAGGTGCTAAGTCACTTGCCCAAGGTCACTTAGAACAAGGCAGTTACAGCCAGAGGCAGCTGGAGTTTCTCGGCCTCTGCCATCTTTGGGGTGGGAGATTGTAGGGTGGAGGGGAGCTGGGTCGGAGACTAAGAGGTCCGCAGCACCAACAACTCCCTAGAGATGAATAGAGTGCACATGCTGTGTGACCTCAGGCCACTCACACTCCCTCTCTGAACCTCACTGGAGACATGAACACAAAGTACTCAGGACACCACTCCCCATTAGTCTGCTTTTCTCATCCCTAGAACAGTAGTAGAGACCTAGCCCTCAAATATACCCAAAGACAGAGGCCGAGGCAGGGCCAGAGATGGGGGTGGTGTGCTGAATGGCAAGAACCCGATGGAGGTATTAGCTCTTCTTCAAAAACTTAGTCCATTTCAGGTGTCCCCTTGGGGCATAGGCTGCCCGAGCTTCTGTTTGGGGACAGTAAATCCCACCTACCTTTTTTTCTAGGGCCATCAGGGACCAGGCTCTCAGCATTCTCCAAGGACTCAGGCTTTGTTTAGAAGTGTCTCCTTGGAGCATGAGTCACCAGATCTTGGGTGGTCCGGGGGTAACCAGGATGTCACTGCTGGGTCCTGGGCTGGAGGCAGCTGCTGCCCAAGATGGCCAACTTAGCCACTCAACCAGTTCCAGGGACCCAGCACCCTCACCTGTAACCCGAGGGGCTGGAGCAGAACTCAGGCCCTCGGGAGGGAGCAAAGGCAGCACAGAACAGGTGAGCTAGCTCAGCTGTTAACGACCCAGGTGGCCGACCCGGGGACCTGGAACCCACACGGTTAAAGGTGAGTCCTGAGGCCTCCACACGTGTGCGCACACACACACACACACACACACACACACACACACACACACACACACAAAATGAACGAATGTAATTTAAAAGGAAAAGTCAGCTGTGGGCTCAGCTGGGCCCAGCGCCCTCCTGCAGCTGGGTCCCGACCGATGATCTTTAAGAAAGTCCAGCTCAGGGCCAACGAGATGGCTCAGTGGGTAAAAACTTTTGCTGCCAGGCCTGATGAGCCGAGTTTGATCACTGGGATCACATGATGGAAGGAGTAAACCTACTCCTGTAACTTGACCTCTGACCTCTGCATGGATGTCATGGTACACACAGACATTCACACACAAAGATAAATAAATACATAAATAAATTTCATGAAGAAAGCCCAGTGCTGATCACCTCGTCGCCCCATTTAGAACCCAGCCCACCTTCCCACTGCCTATGGAGCATCAGTCTGGTGCTCAATGTCAAGGGTGAGGGTCCCCAGCCTCCCTTTCCAGGTTGGCTGGCTTACGTTACACTGGCTATAAGTTGGCGGTCTCTCTCCAGGGTGCAAGTCTGTGAACATGTTCCTTCCCCACTCCCTGATCTCACCCAGCCCAAATCCTTGGCTCCAGATCCCATTGCATTTGTCCCATGAGGCAGAGATCCCAGAAGAATGTCCAATTTTACCTCAGCACCCTACAGAACTTATTCCTGGACTCACTAATGGCCTATGGCAACCTAGAGACCTACACTAAGAATCAGGTCCTGGCAGCACATGATGGAGACGCTGGTGTCTTTAGGACAGGGTCTCCGTGGGGAGGTCCCGGAGGGATCAACTGTAGTTAGCACAGGGACACCAGGCATCTTTGGCGTGGGGACAGCTCATGGGTAAATAACACTGAGAAAGTCAAGTGACTTATGACTCCATCCTGTGCCACCTGCATCCTCTTGTGGCTACCACACATGGGGACGGGCAGGGCCCCCGTGATCAGTAGAAGGCAGCAGAGGAGATGTGATTGTGGAATTCAGTAGCTTCCAGCTTGGTCAGTCCCATGAATGACTTGCTCTGGGAAAGCTTTGCCACGAGAACTCTGAGGGGTGGATCTTTTGGTGAGGGGACACGGAGTAGATCCTTCAGCCCAGTTAGCCTGAGGCAGCCACAGCTGGACGCCTAGCTTGACTATTAAGCTCTGTGCGAGCTGACAGGACCACTGGCTCCTGCCACAGAAATAGTGGGCAGTAAGAAGTAGTGGCGACTTGAAGCTGCCGCGGTGGGTTAATTGACAGAATTCTCAGAGCTCATTATGTTCGTGTAAGTCTCCAAGAGGAAACACGAGAGCCCTTCTGTGCAGACATCCTCCAGAACAGCCCTCTCATATCACTCTGGTCCTACAGCGTGATGGATCCTCCGACCACCATCTTCAGAAGTGCAACATGCCCGGTTAATGAATCAGAAGCAGTCTCCCTGCCTTTCACATACCTTTAACACAGCTCATGTGGCAGATTGTGTGTGTGTGTGTGTGTGTGTGTGTGTGTGTGTGTGTGTGTGTCCTATCAAGGTCCCAAGAGAAGCCTCACTCCAGGGCTCAAGATGGGAATTAGGTCTCCATCTTGGAAGTAGGTCTTTCTTCCTCAGACTGTGGGGAGAGATGGTATTTTCTACTTTGTTCAGAGCTCTTAGATGGGAGGCAGGGACCCGAGCCTCTCCCTTCCCATCAGACCAGAACAGGGAAGGAACCTCTCGTATCAGACAGGCCTGCACTATTTCTCACCCCTGGACACGCCCCAGCGTGGACCCGGAGGAACAAGCCCTTGCCTGGTTCTTACGCATAAACAAACCCTCTCTCCTTTTCCTTCCCTTTTCCTTCCCTTTGTTCTGTGGCCTTGAACTACCGATGCCCCTGGCTCCACTTCCCGAGTACTGGGATTACAGGCATGTGCCACCATGTCCCCACAGCTCCCTTTTCAATAGACTCTCAAATTCAGTAAGTGCTGAAACCATGTCCCTGATGGCTCGGAAGCCTACTGGAGTCCTGAAGGTTCCTCTTTGTAAGAAAGAGAGCTTTAAAAAAAAAAAAAAAAAAAGC